TCCTTCCTTCCTTCCTTCCTTCCTTCCTTCCTTCCTTCCTTCCTTCCACCAAGGGACACTCAAATATTAACCATATTGTTAGCAGACAAAAATAGTACCTATTGTGTGTCCACCACATATTTTTATGAACATAGCCAAACAGAAACAATAATTTTACTAGTTAGGTCATGAAAGCTGTTCTCCAAGAATCTGATTTCTTTGACTAGAACAAGGCAAAGTGTTTTTGAGACATTTTCAAGGGCTTCAGTAGCACAGTTGCTAAATCAGAATCCAGTTATCTGAATGGAATGGTCAATTGGAATTGTGGTTTAATTAATTTTACAGCACTCTGACATTGTTCAGATGTCATTGCTTTGTGAGTGAAAGAGATGTTGGAATCTGCATGATTCTTAAATTTTCCCCCTCCTTTCCAAGGGTGTGTGTTTTTGTGTGAGAGAGAGAAAGAGTCTGTGGATATTGTAAAACCCTGTAACATCTTTATCTTTTTACTTTGTGAACTTAAGGGAAGATGAGTTCTCTTTGACCTTATGATAGAATTTTGATGGAACTGTGACTTCACTTGTTTTATTAGAATGTGATTTTTCAAAAAAAAAATGTTCTAGGTTTTCTCTTCCACCCTTTCTATTACTACTTTAATTTGTCATTGTGCTATGCATCAACATTTCTAGTTGTTTCTCTTTCCTGTCTTCCCTTTCCATAATTTTGTTGTCATACAGCATATGATAATTGTAACTGAAGGCATATAGTTTATTGATTGAACTGATTAAAACCATGAACTTTTACAATCTGAAGTATCTACCATTAAGAAGGTCATATAACAGCTAAAATAAATAACCTGTTAAACTGTTGTCAGCCTGAAATAAACATTACATAGTTCCAAGGGGGAAAAATATCTTTTACCAAGAATAACACAATTATATAATTATGGCCTGCCAAATCATTGACCATCCATTCATTTTAGCAGTGCCAGAGTGACAAGCTGCATTCAGCTTTGGAAATGCAGATCAAAGAGATATTGTATCATGGTTTATTAAATACTATACTTAAAACTTTTTGTGGAACACTGTGTACTTGCTGCAAAGTTGAAGATATCTTTTTAGAAAATTTTTTGCATAAACTGATTATTTTTAATGAGAAAAAATGTTTAATTTTGACATTTTATGAAACAATCAAAAATCGAAATAGACATATTACTTTACATATATTACATTATTGAACTATCATTAGGGAGATTAGTTTTTGTATGTTGTTTATCTACAGCAAGTAGTAATAGTAATTTAGTAGTAATAATTTAATAATAATAATTGTTTTTTAAAGTTTGCTTTTTTCCACACAGACTATTTGAAGCTTGGCAGAGAAAGGGAACTTTTTTGGCTCAGTGGTTATTGGAGTAAGGCTAAAGGGAAATTGGATTCCTGCTGGATATTTATACCATATGAAATACAGTATTTCTGTAAGCATTTTTGATAAAATTTCAGAATTTGTCATTTACGCATAAAGAAAATTGCTAGTGTTCTTGTTGATTCATTATACATTCTGAATAAATTCTAAAATGTTATTTATAGAGGAAAGGAAATGAAAGGGGAGGAAAGAGAGGAGAGGGATAGAAAAGGAAGGGAAAGGAAAGGAAAGGAAAGGAAAGGAAAGGAAAGGAAAGGAAAGG